GTAAGTTTAGCAGCCTCAAAAAATCACATTTGGTCTCCTATGTCATAAATATTTCATACTTTATTAACCTATACGAGAAATGCTGCGAGTTATTAGTAAAACAATAAAATCAGGGGCCAGTTTTAGTTTAGAGTGACTTGCCAACTCAATCATAACTTTTTTTGCATTAGGATTAGTATAATATCTGGCCTGCACATTGGACGCTTCTCAAATTGCCCATATATCCTGTACTATTAGCTCACCTGGAAGCACCTCTAACATATATTTATACAAGCCCATTCATCAGAGGCGTACCCTGCCTAAAAGTGAGTTCTGCATGTTCTCTTCTGAGTGGAAAACTGCTGAGATAAGTCCCAGTGTGGCTGCTCTAAAACACCAACATCTATACCTAGAAAGAGGCGTTCAGGGGCCCCAAACAGCTGAAAGTGACACAAATTAAAAGTAAAATAAAATGCATTCTTTAGAGAACTCCCTTCAGATCACTCCAGAGTGATCTCACGTGTCGGGGGGGTCGGGCTGATTTAACCAAGTTCTCGTCTATATACTGCTCCCTCACCTGTCTGAAAGAGCGATCTGAAAGGAGCCAATGCATTTTGTCATTACCTCCTGCATTACGTAAGACCACACGTCTTTCAAGAGGTTTCCTCCGGATTACGGCTGTCTTGTGTGTAGCAGCGGCTTGCTAATCGTGTGATCTGTCGTCTCGAGGGATGCGTTCAGCGTGGGCATAATTGAAAGCAAAAATTCATTTCTCATGTTCAGTAGCGTGCATAAATCTTGGGCTCGGTTGTGGAAAGCTGGGGTGCCATTAGGCAGAGGCTGTGGACTGTGCTCCGCGCAGAGTCGGATCAGGGGACAAAGGAGTGCGAGGCTTATGATGTGTTATCGTGTGTGTGTATATATTTGCAACACCAATAGCTTCAATCTGAAGCCCACAATAGGGAAGTCGCTCATGGGATGGAGGTATTAGCTCCGAACGTCTCTCTGGCTCCTGTTGACTCACATTGAAAAGTTAACTCCTTCAACTCAATAATTGTTTGTGTCACTCACCATTTTGGACTTAAAGGGTCTGTAGTTTAGGTCTCTCTGTGACCCTGGTTGTTGTTTTTGATATTATCTTTTTAAATCTAGATATAACCATATAAGGATTGATAAATCAGATGCCTTCATTCACAGGGGAAACTCCAGCTTGCCTTAGCAACCGCCTTAGCAACGCGTCTGACCCTGTTGCGGTGGTCAGCACTAGATCATATACGGAATCGGGACGGAAGCGGAAGTAAATACAACAAACTACCTATTTATGCCTAAACTTAACCAGCCACTCCCATAAAACAACCCCAACCCAGCCTTAACCCTAACCTTAACCATCTTACTCAGACCACCTTAACCCTAACCTTAACCATCTTACTCAGACCCACCTTAACCCTAACCTTAACCATCTTACTCAGACCCACCTTAACCCTAACCTTAACCATCTTACTCAGACCACCTTAACCCTAACCTTAACCATCTTACTCAGACCACCTTAACCCTAACCTTAACCATCTTACTCAGACCACCTTAACCCTAACCTTAACCATCTTACTCAGACCCACCTTAACCCTAACCTTAACCATCTTACTCAGACCACCTTAAGCCTAACCTTAACCATCTTACTCAGACCACCTTAACCCTAACCTTAACCATCTTACTCAGACCCACCTTAAACCTAACCTTAACCATCTTACTCAGACCACCTTAACCCTAACCTTAACCATCTTACTCAGACCACCTTAACCCTAACCTTAACCATCTTACTCAGACCACCTTAACCCTAACCTTAACCATCTCACTCAGACCACCTTAACCCTAACCTTAACCATCTTACTCAGACCACCTTAACCCTAACCTTAACCATCTCACTCAGACCACCTTAACCCTAACCTTAACCATCTTACTCAGACCCACCTTAACCCTAACCTTAACCATCTTACTCAGACCACCTTAACCCTAACCTTAACCATCTTACTCAGACCACCTTAACCCTAACCTTAACCATCTTACTCAGACCACCTTAACCCTAACCTTAACCATCTTACTCAGACCACCTTAACCCTAACCTTAACCATCTTACTCAGACCACCTTAACCCTAACCTTAACCATCTTACTCAGACCACCTTAACCCTAACCATAACCATCTTACTCAGACCACCTTAATCCTAACCTTAACCATCTTACTCAGACCACCTTAACCCTAACCTTAACCATCTTACTCAGACCACCTTAACCCTAACCTTAACCATCTTACTCAGACCACCTTAACCCTAACCTTAACCATCTTACTCAGACCACCTTAACCCTAACCTTAACCATCTTACTCAGACCACCTTAACCCTAACCTTAACCATCTTACTCAGACGCCTTAAACTTACCCAGTCAACACTTAAGGACTTCTTAATCTAAAACTAATTCGAAAGTAGGATTGTTACTTCCGGTTTCGTCCCGATTCCGTTTATGATCTAGTGCCGACCCTGTTGCGGTGCGAAACTAACAACGTCAGAAAAAAGTGACCATATAAGGATATAAGGAAAATGATATCCAGTTAGGTTATGTTCGATTGGGCTTCTCACGCATTCAGCAAACACTATGACATCAGCACTCGGTCCGTCCACTCCTGATATATGGTCTGTGATTGCATTATTGTTCTCTCTATAAAACATTCCTGGAGTTGTATTTAGTTCCATACATGTCGTAATATGACACACTTTCAACTATGCATTGATTTGTTGTAGTCTGTTAATTGTTTTGTACTTAAATTTAAAAACCCAGATGTAAACTAACTTCTGGCTCAAAGACTAGTGCAAGTGCAATAGCACTACTGAAGCCTCATTTCCACTGTGCAAGAACACAGGAATTTCAAACAAAAAACCTGGGACGCCATTTCCTCAAACACTTACTAACATGGACTGGCATTTTAACTGCCTTGCGCCATAGTCTTCTTGCCGAGGCGTTTGGCGGCCCCTCCCACCAAATATATATATTTGGTGTGTTCCCACAAGGGACAAAACGGTGTTGCTCCCGAGAGAGGAGCTAAAATCCTCCTTGTGTCTTTCAGGACAGAATGTCTGTGTGTCTTTTAGAACTAAATGAGAAAGAAAATAAAACATGTCATAATAATAATAATAGTACTTCTGGACACTTTGTCTCCCAACTTATAATGAATATGCAAAAGAAGTGTTTGTCATGTGCTTTGGTGTTTAATGAGCTCCGAGCTGCACTGGTGTGAACCGTCTTTACCACAGTGTGTGGAAGTGTGTGGAAGAGTGCTGAAGTGAGTGGAAGTGCAAAGATGCTAATGGTTCGGTGTAAAATATTAAAAACAGCATTTGTAATGACATGTGTTTTATGTGAGCGCTCCTGGATCCTGCAGCTGCATAGAAGTACAACATTTGCACAATTTAATGAAACAATTTAAAGACATGGGCCCTGATTTTGACACAGCGGATAAGGTGCGGTACCTAACTTAATAACCTAAAATAAATAATGCATTGTGTTTGTCCCAACATAATGTATTGTAAAAGAAAAATATATAATAATAATGATAATAATATTAAGAAGAAGAATCAGGTCCTTTATTCGTCCCACAGTGGGGAGATTTTGATTTCGACAGGACAGTAGTAAGAGCACACAGGGAGCACACACAATATATACAAAATAAGTAGTAGCTATGTTTCTTAAGTAGCATAACTGGCTGTAGATGCTGGAAATGCTTCAATACCAGTCAAAAAATATATATACATGAAGTAGTGCAGAGTTATGTATTGTACATATGGTGCAGGATAATAAGTAGATAAGGTAAAGTGACATTGTTCTGTGACATCCTGAAGTTGCAGTATTGCACATTGCACATGATTTAAGAATTTACTTATATACAGATGACTGAAATGTACAGGCTCAGCAGCTTTTATTGTACAGTCTGACAGCAGCAGGAAGGAAAGACCTACGGAACCTCTCCTTCACACAGCGAGGGTGAATTAGTCTGTCACTGAAGCTGCTCTCCAGAGCAGAGAGAGTGTCCTGCAGGGGGTGACAGTCATGGTCCACACAGATTTTAGTTTGCTCAGGACCCTCCTGTCCCCCACCTGCTGCACTGTGTCCAGGGAACAGCCCAGGACTGAGCTGGACTTCCGGATGACCTTGTCCAGCTTCTTCCTGTCCCTCTCTGTGATGCTGCTGTTCCAGCAGACCACACCGTACTAGAGGCTGATGCCACCACAGAGTCATAGAAGGTCTTCAGGAGTGACCCCTGCACTCCAAAAGACCTGAGCGTCCTCAGCAGGTAGAGCCGGCTCTGGCCCTTCTTGAAGAGGGCGTCTGTGTTATGAGTCCAGTCCAGTTTGTGGTTCAGATGAACACCCAGGTACTTGTAAGAGTCCACTCTCTCGATGTCCTTTCCCTGGATGTTCACTGGAGCTGGAGCGGCAGAGTGACGTCTACGGAAATCCACCTCCATCTCCTTGGTCTTCCCCGCGTTGATGAGGAGGTGGTTCATCTCCTTAGTCTTCCCCGCGTTGATGAGGAGGTGGTTCATCTCCTTAGTCCTCCCCGCGATGATGAGGAGGTGGTTCATCTCCTTAGTCTTCCCCGCGTTGATGAGGAGGTGGTTCATCTCCTTAGTCTTCCCCGCGTTGATGAGGAGGTGGTTCCGCTGACACCAGTCCACAAAGTTCTGTATAACTCCTCTGTACTCTGCGTCATTGTAATATAGGATAGTGTTATCTTACCACAAACCTATAGGTGGCAGTGTGGGATAAGGGGGATAATAAGAGTGCACTTGGCGGGTTCAGTCTCTGTTATGTTGTTGGCTGCATGTTGATGATTAAAACCCCGTGTAAGCCACCCGGTGTTTATGACTTCTTTAATGACAAGGATACTACATTTGGCGACGAGGATACTGGTGAGCTCGAGGACGCTGTGGGGAAGAAAACGGCTCGAGCGTTTCTGAATTGATTTTCGGCCAATGTCGGACAACGAGGGAGCTAACCAGGCTAACGCAGTTGCCGGAGGAATGGCGGCGGCTATGCTGGGGACGCTTTCGGTATTTGACAGTCAAGCGCAGACTTGGGAGGAGTACTGTGAGGTTTTGGGACACTTCTTCGAGGCTAATAACATCACTGATGCAAGAAGAAAGCGTGCAATATTGCTGAGCTCCGTTGGAAGCAAGACATACAGTTTGATGAGAAACTTGTTGAGCCCGGACACACCTGGTGATAAGTCATTCACGGAGTTGACTAACCTGCTTCAGTCACATTTCAATCCAAAGCCCAGTGAAATAGTTCAGAGATTTAAATTTAATTCCAGGACTAGAACGGCAAACGAAACTGTGACGGAGTATGTGGCTGTGCTGAGGGAGCTGGCTCAACATTGCAACTACGGGGACAAGCTGAAGGAGATGCTGCGGGATAGGCTCGTGTGTGGCATTGCGGAGGACCGCATACAGAGGAGGCTGTTGGCGGAGCCCAACATGACATTTGAAAAAGCCTTGAAAATCGCGCAGGCCATCGAAACAGCAAACAGGGATGTGCGTGACTTGCAGCCGACGCTGGACAGTGCGGCGGGGAAAAATGCAACACCAATGACAGTGCATAAAGTGGGAACGGAGAATAAACGACAAAGTAAGAGCGTTCCATCAGACTGTTATAGGTGTGGGGGTGATCATTTTGCGCGGGACTGTCGTTTTATAAATGAAAAATGTCATGGCTGTGGTAAAAAAGGGCACGTGAAGAAAATGTGCAGGTCCGCGCCTCCGAGTGCCCAGCAGACTAAGGGGGGTGGAAAGAGTTTTGTGAAGGGGGAGAAAGGTAGCCGTAAGGAAAAAAAACAGTATGCACACCACATGGATGAGTCCTCTGAGACACAAGTGTTTACATTACACAAAGTAAAAGAATCAAAGTTAGAAAAGGTAGACCCTATTACCACACAGCTAGTAATAAATGGAAAAAAAGTAATGTTCGAGGTGGATACAGGCTGTAGTGTGACAATTTTGACTAAGACTGAATACAGCAAGTTGTGGCCAGAAGGAAAGGCACAAGAACTGCAAAATTGCCCATTGACTTTGAAAACATATACGGGGGAAAAAGTCTCTACATTAGGGACTACAAAAGTGACTGTGACGTGCAAGGACAAAGTTAAACAGTTACCACTGGTCGTGGTAGATGGCAGAGGGCCAAACCTGCTAGGTCGAGCATGGCTAAGGGAGTTGAAAATGAACTGTGTGCATGTCAACAAAATGGATCATTCTCCACTTACTTTACAAAATGTGCTTAAACAGAACGAAGAGGTTTTTAATGAGGAACTGGGGACCTGGAGAGGGCCGCCGGCAAAAATATACATTAAAGAGAATGTTGCCCCAAAGTTCTACAAGCCTAGGCCCGTACCTTATGCCATGAGGAAGAAAGTAGAGACAGAGCTGGAGAGACTCACCAAGCAGGGGGTCATTGAACCAGTGAAGTTCTCAGAATGGGCTGCACCAATAGTACCGGTGTTGAAGCCTGACGGAGGGGCACGCATTTGTGGAGACTACAAACTCACGGTGAACCCAGTCTCTAAGCTAGAGCAGTATCCAATACCAAGGTTGGAAGATTTGTTTGAGAAGCTGACTGGGGGAGAGAAGTTCAGCAAACTGGACCTTAGTCACGCATATTGACAAGTCTCTCTTGATGAGACATCAAAGCCGTATGTCACCATTAACACACACAAAGGGCTCTTTCAGGTGAATCGCTTACCATTCGGTGTTTCTTCCAGTCCCGCTATATTTCAACGAATGATGGAAGGACTGCTGTCAAGAATCCCTAATGTGGCTGTGTACCTGGACGACATCCTGCTGACGGGCCTGAGTGACCATGAGCATCTGGAGACGTTAAATGAGGTTCTGAGGCGGCTACAAGAGGCAGGTCTTCGATTGAAACGCAATAAATGTGCCTTCTTGGAGCGAGAGGCGGAATTCCTGGGGCACAAAGTGGATTCTGCGGGGCTCCATCCCCTGCCAAACAAGGTAAAGGCCGTCGGACAAGCACCTGCACCCAAAAATGTCACAGAATTGAAGTCGTACTTAGGTTTACTTAACTACTACAACAGATTCTTACCAAACCTGTCAACGTTGCTGGCGCCCTTACATAAACTGTTGAGAAAGGATACACCGTGGTGTTGGAAGGAGGAGCAAGAGAGGGCTTTTGGGGAGTCTAAGAAACTCTTGCAGTCGTCAAAGGTCTTAGTGCATTATGACAGCCAGAAAGACTTATTATTGGCCTGCGATGCGCCGCCTTATGGTGTGGGGGCGGTGTTGTCACATCGTATGTCAGACGGGCAAGAGCGACCTATTGGTTTCATGTCACGGACACTCACGCCAGCCGAATCAAACTACTCACAACTGGACAAGGAAGGACTGGCAGTGATGTTCGGCATTCAGCGTTTCCATAAGTACTTGTATGGAAGGAGGTTTGTCATTTCCACAGACCACAAACCACTATTGTCACTTTTCAATGAGTTGAAAGCTGTGCCTCAAATGGCATCCCCTCGCATCCAAAGGTGGGCGGTGACTTTGAGAGCATATGAATATGAGATTGTCTACAAGCCAGGGAAATATCACGGCAACGCAGACGCGCTGAGCCGACTGCCCCTGCCTCAGCCATCGACAGAGAAAGTGCAAGAGGATCGAGTGCTGATGATGGAGGACGCGTTGCTGGTATCAGCAACCGAAGTGAGCCAGTGGACACGTAAAGACCCTGTGTTGTCCCGAGTTCGGCAGTTCATTCAACATAGTTGGCCGTCACAACAGTCAGACCCAGCATTCTAACCTTATTCCGTCAGGAAAATGGAGTTAAGTGTGCAAGATGGTTGTGTATTGTGGGGGTCACGCGTGGTGGTGCCCCCGCCAGGTCGGGGAGCTTTGATTCGCCAACTGCATCATGGTCACCCAGGCATTACCAGAATGAAAGCCTTAGCACGTAGCTACTTTTGGTGGCCAAAGCTAGATACAGACATTGAGACAGTGGTGAAGGGATGCAGCACATGTCAAGAACATCGTAACGTTCCGGCTCCAGCGCCCCTCCACCCTTGGGAGTGGCCAAGCAAACCGTGGCAAAGGCTACACATAGACTATGCAGGACCATTTATGGGTCATATGTTTTTGATCTTAATGGATGCTCATTCAAAATGGATGGACGCATACCCTGTTTCAACAGCGACAGAGTGTCTACGGAAAAGTTTCAGCAGTCAAGGGTTGCCCGAGATGGTGGTGTCGGATAATGGATCATGTTTTGTGAGTGCTGAGTTTAAAGATTTTATGAAAAATAACGGCATTGATCACATTACCTCGGCTCCATACCACCCTTCTTCAAACGGTTGCGCCGAGCGGGCAGTCCAGACCTTTAAGTGCATGATGAAAAAGGCGGGTGAAGGAAATATCCAGACTAAAGTTTCGAGGGTGCTATTTAATTACCGCATTACCCCTCAGTCGACCACAGGGTTGTCACCCGCTGAAATGCTACAAGGTCGTAGGTTAAGATCAACTTTGGATCTAGTGCATCCTGACCTGAGATCCAAGGTGGAACAGAAGCAGGGCGTTCAAAAGAAGCATCATGACAAACAAAGAACAGTGAGAAGTTTCTTAATCGGAGATGCAGTCATCACGCGAAACTTTAGTTATGGGCCCAAGTGGATCCAAGGCTTCATTACCAAAGTCACCGGCCCTGTGTCTTACAAAGTCATGTTAGGGGATGGTTCCATAGTGCGTAGGCATGTGGACCAGATACTGGACAGACCTGAACAAAAAGACATTATTGACCCGGAGGGAACGGGACCTTTGACAGTACCACTTGTGTCGGCTGACGCTACACCATTGTCAGAGGAACCTGGAGCAGTAAGCGTGAGTGGTGCTCCGGAAGGGAATCCACAACTCAGGGACATAACAACTCCATCCATGGTGGTCATTCCAGAGACCGTGAGGGAAGCGCCGCTGGTGGTGCCTGCACGCCGGTCTCAACGAACTGTGTCTAAACCCAATTTTCTGAAAGACTATGTCTGTGGGAAGTAATCTAGAAATATAAAAGGAGAGAAGAAGAAAACCGTTACTATGTTAAGTTTCAAGCTAAGTTAAGTTAACTGAGTTTTAAAGGTTTGGCATGGCTACTGAAGGGCTTGTAACAGTTTGTTTTGTTTGGTTTATTCATTATGGTAATATTAGTACTCGCTTAAGGGGGGAGGAGTGTAATATAGGATAGTGTTATCTTACCACAAACCTATAGGTGGCAGTGTGGGATAAGGGGGATTAATAAGAGTGCACTTGGCGGGTTCAGTCTCTGTTATGTTGTTGGCTGCATGTTGATGATTAAAACCCCGTGTAAGCCACCCGGTGTTTATGACTTCTTTAATGACAAGGATACTACAGTCATCGTCCTCGGAGCTGAGTCCAATGATGGCAGAGTCGTCTGAGAACTTCTGTAGAACACAACCGTCCGTGTTGTGCCTGAAGTCCGCAGTGTAGAGGGTGAAGAGGAACGGCGCGAGGACAGTTCCCTGGGGGGCCCCCACACTGCAGGTCAGGACCTCAGACACAAAGTCCCTGGTTCTCACAAACTGGGGTCTGTCTGTGAGGTAGTCCAGGATCCACTGGGACAGGTCGTAGCCCACTCCAGCTGTCTCCATCTTGTCCCTGAGAAGCCGCGGCTGGATGGTGTTGAAGGCACTGGAGAAATCAAAGAACAGGATCCTCACAGCGGTGCCGGGTTTCTCCAGGTGGGACAGGGAGCGATGGAGGAGGGAGATGATGGCGTCCTCAACTCCGATGCCCGGCCTGTAGGCGAGCTGCAGCGGGTCCATCACTGGGCTCAGAGTGGAGCGGAGATGTCCCAGGACCAGTCTCTCCAGTGTCTTCACTGGAGAGACCTATTATAATAACTGGATAGGGTATTACCAGCTTGGAGCTGAAGAACCCATGTGATCGGGGGATTCTCGCTGTACTGCAGACTGAACCAGACAAAATTCACGTGGGCTACCCAGAAATTTTCCCCATAGAACTCAATGTAAACTAAAACAGCTCGACCTCAGCTGACAGAGAACCTGACAGAGCACCTACAGCTTTCATAAAGGTCAGATTTTGTGGGGATTTTAGTGTCCCTTGTCATCCTGATCCACACTTTACTACCACAAACTCTGCTCGTCTGGCTCTCGCTCTAACTCCCGCTCTGATCAGCAGCTCTGATTGGTCAGAGCGCGGCCGAGCCCCTCTGTGCACGTGCATGACAGCCACACACTCTTATTTCGCACAACGCATTATGGGAGATCATCCACTGCACAGAACCGGGAGGACCAGACAATGCCCAAATACAGGAGTTTCCCATAGATCTTTGAGAGTTTCCAATAGATCTTTGAGAGTTTCCCATAGATCTTTGAGAGTTTCCCATAGATCTTTGAGAGTTTCCCATAGATCTTTGAGAGTTTCCCATAGATCTTTGAGAGTTTCCCATAGATCTTTGAGAGTTTCCCATAGATCTTTGAGAGTTTCTCATAGATCTTTGAGAGTTTCCCATAGATCTTTGAGAGTTTCATAGATCTTTGAGAGTTTCCCATAGATCTTTGAGAGTTTCCCATAGATCTTTGAGAGTTTCCCATAGATCTTTGAGAGTTTCCCAGAGATCTTTGCGAGTTCCAGGCGAGTTCCGCTAATCTTTCAGCCCCCATGCTGTCACAAAGCGCCACTGAGCACAAACCATTCATTTGAATACGGCGCCATCTTGGATCGCCGGGGCTTGGATATGAAACATTCATCAACTGATTTTACTGGAGGTGGCCATCATCATTCAGCCAACTGACGATTGCGTATTTTCTCACCAGCGACAAACTAATGTATGGAGTCGAATTTGTGAACTCTTCAGAGACTGAGCTTTAAGATAAGATAACTAACAGAAAAAAGCTTGACCACAACATCCTAAAATAGATTTTGATTTGAGTTGACCCATCAACTCAAAATTGACAACTTTTACCAAACCCTGGCACAACATGCTGAAAGAGATGTGTGCGATTCACTATTTCACTCTTTGGGCTGAGAGCTAATTGAGAGTGGTCCTCTCTTTATTCACTGTGTGAAAAAGCTGATCTAAAGACGTGACAGAGGCCAAAAACACATGCACACGAAATCTATAAAACCAAACGGTCAAATGGATTTTATTACATAGTTTGTTTTATTGTGGTTTGAAAGTTAAGTACCCCAGCTTTAAGAACTCATATCGTGCATTGGTCTGCTAGGAGGGGCCTGTCAATCAGTCAACAGGTGACATTGAAAGTGGCTGACATTCACTTTAACACTGATCACCATACCAACACTGCAACATAATATCAGATCATTAAAATCACGATATAAGTAAGCTTTAAATCTAATCTATATGTCTTGATTATATCAAAGCCTCTGTAGCCATAGTAACTTTAAGCAGAGTCGGGGTGCTCTGAAGACCGACTTGGCCGGACCTCATTTAACAACAATAATTCATTTGTTCATTTATTCGTTCTCATCAAACTTTACAGTCACATAAAGAACAGGAGTAGGATGAAGACCAAGTCTTATTTAAACCCCTGCCCCAATCTTAGGACAGTAAGACAACAAACATAGATGTCTTTGTGTCAAAATACAACAAATACAAATACAATACTATTTCTCACTTCATTTAACACAGGATTAACAACATAGGATTTAATGATTACATCGTTTACTGAGAACATTTGAAGACCACAGGGCAATAAATAATGTCTTGCTCTGAACATAATAAATAATGTCTGTAATACATTTAAATCTTTCATTTTTAACAGTCCAGACGTCAACAATAGTTCAGTCATGTGTTCTCTTGGAGCTGTTTTGTGTATTATTCGTGAAGCTCTTTTTTGTAGAATGACTGAAGGTGTTAAATTAGTGTTGTAGGAGTTGACCCAGACTTAAAGGCAATACATATAATATGGAGGATCAAAGAACAGTATAGAGTTCACATTGCCTTGTAGTTTAACAGATACTTTACTTTGCTCCAAATGGCAAGATTCTTACAGATTAACTTTTTTTGTTGAAGCAACGTGTTGCTTCCATTTTAGGTTTTCATCAATAATGACTCCTATAAAAGGGATTTTGATAATGAGTAATAAAAAAACAAACAAAAAAGTTAGTCTAATAGATTGGATGAAATATATAAAATATAATAATAAATACTAAGAAAAAAATAATCTAAAAGGTGTCTCTTGAGCCTGCTTTTAAAAAACATGGACGTTCTCTGAGACCCTGAGCTGCAGAGAATGTTCATGTTTGTAATCATGTACCCTGCATATAAAAACTATTCATTGTGTTTCATTTGTGAGATGAGGAATCCTCGTCTGAGCATTAGTGCCACCATAACCCTAACCAGTATCTCACCATCTGTACGCTTTATAAAGGGAACTCTGAGCATGAATAATCCCTTTATGGACATAAACTAATATAACTCATATAAGACCGTCAGAACAGAGTGCAAATATGTCTCCAGTTTATTCTGTCAGAAATAGATGGTAGTTTTGTTGTCTTTCCCACATACAAATAGTATTTATAACCTAAAGGCAAACAATAAGTAAGGAATGCACCAACAGAACAGAGATAAGTCTTTTCTTACAGTAGGAAAGACGGATAAGACATGACTGAAGAATGATTTACTTGCAAAGACGCTTCCCATGGCACCACATGTTTGCTTCTGTGACACCAAGTGCTGTTGCTATATTTTAGAATTGTGTATTTATTTGTTTGTATGGATGGATGTGTTTCTTCCTCTGGACCCCTGAATTTCT